TGGTGCAGTTGCCCGCGGCACCTGGAGGGAGACAGGGAACCCAACTTCCTTACCTCAGGCCCAGCACAAACAAGACTGAAACAGTGACACCAGTGCCCTCACTTTCCCAGCTCCCCAAGTCTCCCCAGGTCTCCTGCCTGGTTACTTGGGAACAGCCCAGAGGAGGCCCAGTGGGGTCGGCCCTGCCCCATCAGAAGGTCGGGGTCCCGTGATCACGCGCTGCAGACTGGCTGACACGCTTCCCTGGGGCCGCAGAGCCTGCCGCCTCCTCCGCACCTGGCCTCGCAGGACCCGTGTCCGTGCGGGGCTGCGATCAGAGCCCCTCAGGCAGGCATTGCTGCCGTGATGGAGCCCCATGAGCAGGAGGCATTTGGGGTTTGCCTTGTGGGGTGGGATTGCTAGGAATTCATGGGCCTTCACGGTTCCCCTTTGTGAGCTGGGTTGTCTCTGTGGGCAACATTGTGCAAGGCAAGAAGTACACCTGGGGAACGCTGCCCAGGCTCGTTGCTGAGCAGAGGCCTAACGGCCCAGTCCTGCCTGGCCCAGCAAATTTGGTTTCCCCAGCCGCGGTCGCTGCTTGGATGGAAACATTGGGGGTCCTGGCTCTGCCTGGTCTATGGTGTGTGGCCCAGCGTCCTCGCTAGCAGAATGGGGGTAGCATCCTGCCCCTTGTGGGGCTAGTGAGACCACTGATGCAGAAGGATGGTTAAGGAAAGGTAGATATCGCTGCTTTCCTGCTTTCACAGTGCCCCACGCCATTGAGATACTTGCAGGCGTCCCAGCGGTGTGAGCAGCTGGCACTGGACACCCAGACCATGCCGTCCCCCGTGTTGTGCTGCTTCCTGTCACGCAGGTTGACCCTACCTCGACCTTACACGGCTGTGAAGCTGGGAGCCACCCGGTGTTTATAATGGAGATTCTGTCACAGCCCGTGGGGGGTGAGCTCGACCTGGAGTTGCATTGGTTGAGACACATTAGAATCATTTTGGCCAGTTTTTAGTCTGACTTCTGCCAGGTTGCATGTTTCTAAAAGGTCTGTGTCAGCAAATGAAATGGAAGAGAGACCAGCTGGTCTGGTGCTTGAGCTCCGGATGGGCCTGTTCACCTCACTTTCTTACAGGCCTGGTGGTGAGGCAGAGCTGTTCTCGCTGCGTTTTTAGTTTAGCATCTGTACAATTTGAGATGAGCTGGGAGCTTAAGTGACCTCATAAACGTGAGCCGTGGGAGAGGGTCAGGTCACCGGAGCACGCGGGCACGGGCAGGCTGCACAGGCTCAAGCAGCGCACGCCTCAGCCCACACGTCACCTTGGACGTTAGCGAACACTGACTTTCGGCAGGTGATCATTTTATCTTGGAGGCTTGGACTTGGACATGAGCCTGTTGGAATGTAACCGATTAACCAAGTGTCTCAGTTCTAAGTCCTCTATGGGATGGAATTCTTAAAAGAGAAGCTGGCTTTTTTTTTTTTTTTTTGGTTTGTAAATCCTAATCCATCCTAGCTGGTTTGGCTCAATGGATAGAACATCAGCCTGTGTGGACTGAAGGGTCCTGAGTTCGATTCCAGTCAAGGGTACATGCCCGGGTTTCTGCCTCAATCCCCGGTGTGCAGGAGACAGCTGATCAATGATTCTCATCATTGATCTCTCTCTCTCTCTCTTTCCTCTCTGAAATCAATAAAAATACATTTTAAAAAATCCTAGCCTGAGGATATTTTTGTCATTGAGTTTTATATAATAGAAAGTGGAAGGGGGAAAAGGGGGAGGTAAGAGGGAAAGGGAGAAAAGAAGGAAAAGAGGAAGGAGGAGAGAGAGGAAGAGACAGAACCGTCGGTGTGAGAGAGACATCGGTTGTTTGCCTCCCACACATGCCTAACAGGGCCAGGCACATGCCCTTGGCCAGGCATCGACCCCGAGGCCCTTCTGTGCACAGGTCACATTCTCAGCACTGAGCAGCAGCCAGGGCAAGAGAAGCCGGCTTTTAGCACTTTCCTTGGAGCACTAGCGCCCAGGATAAAAGAAACTTTTGCAATTCTGGAGTTTTAAATCTCCGCCTATTTCCAGTTCTGCAAAAAGAGTCTGAGTGGGAGCAAAGGAGCGGTAGGTTTCCTGAGCTGTGAGAGCAGACTGTGAGGAAACTTCTGTTTCTTCCTGCCCAGTTAGGCAACATCTCCACAAAAAGAGAAGTTGGGACAATGTGCGCACACAGCCTGCTCCTCTGAAAAGGTTGAAAGTTTATCTCCTTGGTGGAGGGACTTTAAAAAGGTTATTTTACTATTTTTAAAATCAAAACTAGAAAATAAGTGAAAAGCGAATATTTGACACTGAGAAAGCCTCTAGCGACAGCTTTGAGCGGGCGGAAGCAGCAGCTGGCACGGCGGCCCCACCTGCCCACTCCCGCCCTCAGGGAGCATCTTTAAAAGAGCAGGTTCTACTTCAAAATCACACCAGCGACAAGCTTACAAACGAAAGTGCACCTAATAGAAAGATAGAATATTGAGAGTAGAAGTGAGAAATCACCCATCTAGGTCTTTCACCCAAAGTAACCACTGTTAACATTTTAATATTTATTTTTAACAGGTAAAAAGTTAATTTTAAGAGCTTTTGCTGCCTTCTGTGCCCTACGACTCAAACTTTGTGGGCAAAACTGAGATCATCAGATGTATCAGAACTATGATGAGATTGTTAGAACTGCGAGCGGGAACCACTTTCTTTCATGGATGAAAACAGAAGCAGCAGAATTAAACTCGGGTCTGTGACCGGGCGGTCGCTCTCGCGAAGGGAGCTGAAGCAGTCCGTCCGTCCCCCTCCCCCGTCTCTCATTCCCAGATGCGGCTTCAGAAGCGCTGCCCTTGGGAGGCATTCAGGGCTTGTGCTCGGCTCGCCCTGAGCCTCCTCACTGATGGCCGGCACCGGAACTGCAGGCCTCCCCCTTTGAGGTCCTCTGTGCCCAGCAGCCAAGAGCAGAGGGGATGTTTCAGTGCTAACGTGAAACGTCCTCAGCTGCTCTTTTCTCACCTATTTCCCTGGGGAAAAGGAAACTAGACAATTTCCATTGTGCTATACATTTGAAAATTATTTTGTAGGGGCTTCAAATATAAATGCATTAGGCAAGAAAAAAGCAAGTGATGTAAGTCAAGTGAGGAGAAAAAGCAGCTTACCGACACAGCACAGAATCAGACCGACTTCCAGGCCGAGAAGGGCCCTGGCCCCGTCCATAGCCTCCGTGTCTGTGTGTGGGGTGGAGAGCGTGTGTTTGTGTGTGTTGCCTGTCTTTTCCTCTTTTTAGAAAGGAAGAACTGAAGAGAGGAACTCTTATTAAGGAACCATAATCCGGAACTTTTTGAAATTGTGTAAATGTTGTTTGTAATGCAGTTTGGCCGTTTGAAGTTGGGACTTGAGCCTAGAGCACATTTCTAGTGTTCACATGATTCATCTGCCTCGGCTTTTTACAAAGCCTCCAGCACTGGATGGTCTGAGTGAGCCTGGAACCGTGCGTGTTCCCGGGAAGGAGTATTACTGCAATGTCCAGCGCAGTTCCTGGCCGGTCCTGGGAGTCACTGCTGGGTCTAGCAGGGCGAGATTAGTGAATGGTGAACACCTCACAGTATGAGCAATGTGCCGTGTGCCAGAAGCGGCTGTGCCAGTTTTGTGTGACCCCTTTTTACTGTGTCGGGAAAGCAGGTGTGTGGAACCTGTCATCCATACCTCCCAACCCTGCTCCCCTGCCTCCTGCTCAGGTTCTTTCTAAGCAAAAAGAACTCTGCTCAAATGGACTCTGCTGACCTAAGCAAGAGGGAATTTAAGGAAAGGATGGAGGGTCACAGAGCCACTGGGAAGGGGGGAGAACCGCATGTGGGCTGCAGCCAAGAAAAATGCCCCGGTCACTCCATCAAGCTGATCTGAAGCCCACGCTACTGCCAGGCACCTGACCGGTGCTGCCCCAGCCTTGGCGCCCCGCCACTGCAACACCCCCGGGGGTGGGGTGGAAAGGTGGAGGCTCCATTCTCCTCCTGGGGCACCAGCTCTTCATGCCACGGCTGAGAGTGTGTGCCTGAGCTCTGGCCACGTGCTGGTCCTTGTGACACCTTCCCACTCAGTGCTTGTGCTCAGCACAGACAGTGACAGTTTCCTACGTGCAGAACGTTTTCCCCAGTCTGCATTTATAACACTTAAGTTTTTTGTGTTAGTGTCACCATAGTATCAACAAGCACCCTGAATTTACATTGTGTGTGTCTCTAGTCCGTGCTTGGTATGTATGTGAGCTGGAAGACCTCCCTCTGCCCCCGTGATGCTTAGGGAATGCGGGACACACCTGTTCTCCCGCTGTCTCTGGTCCTGGAGCTTTACTTTTATGAAGTTATTTTGAAAAGTTAGGGAGTGGCTCTAGCTGGTTTGGCTCAGTGGATAGAGCATTGGCCTGCGGACTGAGGGTCCCAGGTTCAGTTCCAGCCAAGGGCACATGTCCAGGTTGTGGGTCCGATCCCCAGTTGGGTTCATGCAGGAGGCAACCAATCAATGATTCTCATCACTGATGTTTCTATTTCTCCCTCTACGAAATTTTTTTTTTTAAAGAAAAGTTAGAGAGTGGGTCAACTTCTCTTGAAAAGCACACTGATTATTTTTATAAATTAAAATTATGTATTAATGTAGCTTTATTTTCGGCCTAATAAACCTAATAAGTTGCATAAGTTTACTACAGCAGTGGTGTTTCCATGTATTTATCCAAAACCCTCTTTCCAGGAGCACGTGTTTTTCCTGCCCCAGTGTTCCAGTGCTTGGTGAGCTTTGGGGCGGAACCGGCGCTCCTGCTGCTCTGACACGCATTGGCCTGCCGGCTGGGCTCCTCCAGCCTTGCTCGGTCTGCTCCTGGTCTCTGTCCCCGACCCCAGGGGCCTGGGAGGGAGTCAGCAGAGCACCCAGCACGTAGCACCCTCTGCCCGCCCTCCCTCTTCAAACAACTTGTTTGTTCAAGAATTTAACTTAATGTTTTCTTTGTTTTAGTAGGTGGCAAGTGGGACAAGCCGTCAGAAATTTTGGAAATCAAGGGACAGAACTGGGAAGAGCAAGTGAACAGTCTGCCTGAAGTTTTCGGGAAAGCGGGTTTTGTTATCGAGGCTTTCACCAGACTGCCGTACCTGTGCGAAGGGGACATGTACAACGACTACTACGTCCTGGACGACGCTGTGTTCGTTCTCAAACCCGTGTAACCCGGAGTCTGCATTCTGCATTACGCCGGGGAGGAGTGGGGACTGTCGGGCTAAAGATCATGTAGGAATTTAAAAAGCCAAAATATTAATTATTTCTTTGTAGTGTGTAAAAGGAATGTCTTTTTAAAAAACAACCCAACTCTTTGGTGATTTTATCAGCTCTTTCTCAGTATGCAGGTCTCACTCCAATTACAGGAGATATTTTTTATACTCAATTGCAGTAGGGACTCCTTCCAAGGCCTAGCAATAGTCGTGACTTCCCCTGGAAACAGCAAATGCGGGTTGTTTCTGACAAAGTGAAGACTGGCGGTGAAGGTGTCCTTCCGTTACAAATACTGGTTATAAGGTATAGCCACAGGCACTCTTTCCTGTTTAGACATCTTTCTGTCCTTATTCAAGAAAATGTTTTAATCATGCTAATAAACTCTTTTGGCGAGACTTCGGTATCAGGTTTGAGTTCATGAAAGGCTCCCAGGACCTTGCACTGCTTTGACTTCAGGGACACCCACTAGTCAAGTCATGTGGAAGATGCAGCTGCAGGAAGGACTGAGGCGGGCGGGGCGGGCAGGGTGGGCGGGGCGGGGCGGGGCTGGGGGATGTGAATTGTGAACACTGAGGCAGTCAGACCAGCCCTCAAGAGAACCACCTCACTTGGATACAGTACTTCAGGGACTACCACCCACTCCCCAGTTCATGTCACTTTGGGGAATGCAAAACACTGGGTCTGCCTTTGTGGTAGCTAACGTCCTACACTCAGAACTTTGTGTTTTTGGACAATCTCAGGTTCTCAGAACTGAAACATTCAGTTACGTCTACCAAAAAAAAAAAAAAAAAAATGGAGCCTAAAGATGTTTTAATTCCACTTCTTCCCTCTACACTTTTATACCTCTTTCCCAGAACTTGGTTCCTCCTGAAATCCTTCTCTGAATTTATTAGTTGCCAAGCATATGGGCTGATGAAGACTGTGTCGGACTTGTGCATTCTAGAATCTGTGAGTGCCTCCACCATACCCAGAAATGTTGCAACGCAGGAACTCATTAGCTGGTCAGTAACCGTTGTGGATATTCCAAAGAGCAGAGCGCTAACCCAGAATCTAAAATCTCGTAATCACAGAGATGCCGATTTGAGATTGCTGTTTATGAACAATATGTTATTGTTACAACTTTATTTCTTTTCCCAGCCAGGTGTTTCACTAACTATCCCCATCTATAAGCTCACAGAAGTCATCAAATCAACATGTTTACTGCAACACCTGGGTGAGAGGCATGTTGAAGCCTTGAGAAGAACGGCTTCGCTGTTCGTGGGAGCGGCACTCCCACTTCCTCACGCCCCAGTCTCCGCTGTCTGGTGTGGTCCTGATAAGAGTTGGGTTATGTGATTTATACAAAATTGTTGGTATGCTCTAAAGCTTTTTCCAGGAATTCAAATAAGTGAAGTGCAAATACTTAGCACCATAGACTGTTAAGGATAGAAGGCGGAAGTGAGTAAACAATGGAGTTCTTGTGCAGTTGAGTTTTGCTTCTTTAGGAACTGTCTGTCATTATCAGGGGTCGCTATTAGACTGTTGAACAAGAGTGCAAGAGTGATAGATGTTCAAAGAGGCGGGTTGCCCCAGTGTTTCATAACTTTGAAATTGAGACTTAATTTCATGGTCTGTTCAAAACAAAACTCATTTGTTACTCAAAAAAGCAGAGAAAGCACATTTATGCATTTCTAAGATAAAAATTGTTTCTTAAAATTAGATTCTCTGAAGACCCAATTATCTTTGATATTTTGTGGTGAAAATTTACACTAGCAAATCTCACAGTTCCTAGCTGGTCTCCGAAGCCTGGTGGTGCGCCACCATTTCACTAGATGGCGCTGTTGCTCACTCTGTGTCAATGGCTTTTTTTTTCCTTCCCTAAATGGAATCATGTTATCCCTCCCAAAGTACAATAAAGCTGCCTTCTTGTCTGCACCATTCTTTGTGTAAGTGCCTCGTATCAAGTTCAGGTTGTGCTAGAGAAATTAAGAGCTCTATTTGTGGTCAAAGCAGGCTAACTATCTGACCTTAGGTCGTGGAGGAGGGAAATGCAAGCCGCACCTGCAGCTGTAGCTCCTCGCACCTGCGGCTGCAGCCCCTAGGTGCTCAGAGGACTGGCTTTGGAGGGGAGGGAAAGAGAGACAATGCTCTTAGTCGTTTCTCCCTTGGCAGAGTAGTTAAAGTGACAGTGTATCTCCTCAGCTTCTCTGAGTCGGATCAGCTTCTACCTAGTTGGTCTGTCCCAGGAAAGAAGCCGGCTGGGAAAGAACCTCCGTGTTCATGTCGTCTTTCTGAGAAAAGCTTTGTTCCCACTTCGTTCTGAGCGGGGGTTTAAATAGACTCAGAACAAAGCAAGACGTTTCTACCAGATGCTTCCCACCACTTGGTGACTGATGAAGCTTCATGGTCTTTTTCCTCTAAAGACAGCACATGGAACACGGGCTTCCAGTGGCTAAAGTGACCCCATACGTGTGTGCAGGTGCCTGTATGCTTCCAAATAAGCTTACATTCTATGCACCATGTTAAAGCCGGAAGACGAACCCGAGTAAGGCCATCTGGTCTGAGCGGTACGCCGAGGTTCATTATTGACTCCAAAGAGGCTGCTCACAAACTGACAATCAGCTTACCAAAGATATAAAATCATGAGTTGGTGGAAGGAGGTTTACCTTGTATCCACAATAAGAAACGTGTGTGACCCAAGTGGGAAAAGGCACCCAGGTCGTTACAGAACTAGTGCTGCAATGTGAACTTCAACAGCCTGCCTTTTGCAATTAGTGGGTTCTGAGATAATGTTTTGTGGTGAAAATTTACAGCCTGCCTTTTGCAATTAGTGGGTTCTGAGAGAATGTTTTGTGGTGAAAATTTACACTAGCAAATCTCACAGTTCCTAGCTGGTACAGTGGACAGTACAATAAAATTCCACACCTACTGTGGCTATCTGTATAGGTATTCATATTTTGCTGCTTGCTTAGTCAATTCTAATATGTTTGTGTTGTCTTTGTCTTCTATGTAGGAATTCTAACTTTAAAGTTGTTGCTTGCTTTTTAAAACTCATTTTAAAACAAACTTTTATTTTGGAATAATATTAGATTTAAAGAAATCTTGCAAAGATAGTACAACCAGTTCCTGTATACCAGTGGTTCTCAACCTTTCTAATGCTGCGACCCTTTAATACAGGCTCCTCATGTTGTGGTGACCCCCAACCATAAAATTATTTTCGTTGCTACTTCATAACTGTAACTTTGCTACTGTTAATGAATTATAACGTAAATATCTGTGTTTTCCAATGGTCTTAGGCTCTACAGCAGCCGTTCTCAACCTGTGGGCTAGCAGGGTTGCCTAAGACCATCGGAAAACACAGATATTTACCTTATAATTCATTAACAGTAGCAAAATTACAGTTATAATTTTATGGTTGGGAGTCACCACAACATGAGGAACTGTATTAAAGGGTCGCGGCATTAGGAAGGTTGAGAACCACTCTGTATACCCTTTACCTAGTTTCCCTAATGTTAACATCTTAGTAGCCATGGTATATATGTCAAAACTAAGAAAGTAACTTTGGTACATTAGTATTAAGTACACTACAAGCTATTGGCCCATTTTTTCGCTAATAAAATTTTCTGTTTTAGTAGAGGATTCAGGATACCATATTTAATTGCTTACTTTTAAAAAACTTATTATTATTATTGATTTTAGAGAGGAAGGAAAAGAGAGAAATGTCAATGTGGGAGGGTAACATCAATTGTCTGCCTCTTGCATGATGCCTACTGGAGATTGAGCCTGCCACCTTCGCATGTGCCCTGACTAGAAATAGAACTGTGACCTCTTGTGGCATAGAATTGTTAGTTTACTGAAACAGTACCATGATTTGTTTTTCTTCCAATTTCCAGGTGTACAGTTCAGTGGTATTTAGGAGATTCAGTGTATAGCCATCACCATTTCATCTCAAAGACCTGAAACTTCCCACTAAATACAATTTCCCTCCCTCTCTCCCTTCCTCCCTCCCTCTCTCCCTCCTTCCCTCCCTCTCTCCCTTCCTTTCTTCCTTTTTGTTAATCCTCACCAGAGGATATTTTTTCCATGATTTTAGAGAAAGTGGAAGGAAGTAGAAGAGATAGACTGAAACATCAATGTGAGAGAGACATTGACTGATTGCCTCCTACATGTGCCCTGGCTGAGCTAGGGATCGAGCCTGCAACCCAGGTGCTTGCCCTTGACCAGAGTCAAATCCAGGACCCTTCAGTCCATGGGCTGATGTTCTAACCGCTGAACAACTGGCTATGGCCCATTCCTTCTTTCCTCAGCCCATGGCACTAACACCTACTTTCTATGGCTTTGACTACTCTAGGTCCCTCATATAAGTGGGATCACACAATATTTGTCCTTTTGTGTTCTCAAGGCTCATCCATGCTGTAGACTGCCAGAATTTTTTTCCTTTAAAAAAATCATTTATTTATCAATTACAGTTGACATACAGTATTATACTAGTTTCATATGTACAAAATAATGATTAGATATTATATAACTTACTAAGTAATCATCTCAATAAATCTCACATCCATCTGACACCATATATAGTTATTAGACATTATTGACTGTATTCCTTGTGTTATACTTTACATCCCCATTACTTGTAAAGTATAACACAAGGAATACAGTAATACTCTGTAATAGACAATTTATACTTCTTAATCCTTTCACCTTTTTCACCCATTCCCCCAAACGGCAAATGGCAAATTTGATCTCTGTATGGGTCTATTTCTGTCCTGTTTCTTCATTTTATTTATTTATTTTTTAAGATTTATTTATTGATAGACTAGAGGCCCCATGCACGAAATTCATGCAAGGGGCTTGGCTCCCGCCACCACTGTGACCATCTCTTCCTCGGCCCCCGCCATCGTGGCTTTGTCTGAAAGGACCTCGGGTCTAATTAGCATTTTATGCTTTTATTATTATAGATATGTATATATTGCCA